TTGCCATCCGCGTCCATGCCTTAGCCCGCTGGAGTGACAGTCCCATGAAGCCAGCAGAAGAGAGTTTTAGAACTTTAGGACCTGTAGGACGCTTAGGGGACCCCATCTGACATTGCAACGAGGGAGCTTGAGAAGCCTGGCATGGAGAAAGCCTCCAGGGCTTCCGGTTCAAAACCCAGCTCAAGTAGCACCTGGCACCGGGAGGCTCGTTGAGGCGCGTTGATGCGCTTTTTGCATGGCTTTGAGCGCATCTTCGCGCACTTCTTTGCAGCAACAGCACCGACTCCGGGGCTCGCAGAGCCACGCCATCCACCGCAATGGTCTTGGGGCGGTAGGCCTTCCAAGCAACTCGAAGAGAAGAGATTGGCAAAGGCAGCTCTAGCAGCGCTGGCAGCTAGCCATAAGCCCGAGACAGATTTTGAGCACACCGCTCTGCTGGAGGTTTGTGCTGGGGTGGATATCTTGGGCAAGGAAGAAGGGGCGACTGTTTGGCCCAACTAGCCAGTCTATACAGATCCCTGCCCGGGTTCATGCATGAATCTTGCCCGGCATGGTGGCACAACGATTGACTAGATATCCGCCGAGGCCTCGGGCCGGAGGTGTATAGGTTGTCAGAACAGGCCCCCACACCCAAGACCCCTTTTTTTGCCTCAAATGAGATGCAGCGGACGGTTCGCCAGCACCAGAGGCAGTTGAAGATCCTCCCAGTAGGGCCCCCCCCCCCACCCCCCCCCCCACCCCCCCCCCCCCCCCCCCACCCCCCCCCCCACCCCCCCCCCACCCCCACCCCCACCCCCCCCCCACGCCGCCCCCCCCCACCCCCCCCACCCCCCCCTGCGGGTTTTCGAGGCTCAACTGGTGTGAGCACGGCCGGGGACGAGCCGAAGAGTCTAAGCTTGAACCGAAACCCTAAACCTTAAATCTTAGCTCCCCCCCCCCTTTCCCCTCTGCCCCCCTTCCCGCCCCACCCCTACCCGCCCCTGAGGGGCCTGGCTCAACCCTACGATCAATCCAAGCCGAACCGTCTCTTGAACCCTAAACCCAAAAAAACCCTAAACCCCAAAGCATGAACCTTGAGCCCTAAGCCCTCAATCCTAAACTAACCCTCAACCCTAAACCCCAAACCATAAACCATAAACCGGAACCCTAAACCCTAAACCCAACTAACCCAACCCTTATTGCTTGGGTCCAGCGACTTGGGCGCTGCGGAATCACCATGCTCACGCGGATGCGCTGGGCCGGGCCGAGGCGGGTCGCGCAGCGTTAAAATTAATGCGATGTCAAGGACTACATAATTCCAAAGGCCCAATCAATTAATTAATGTCTGAGAAGAAATGAAAGATGTGCCTCCTTCATGCGACGATAGCGCTCGTCGTCTGCACGCTGCCTGACGTGATGAGCGTAGCCGGCGTAGCCATGCTTGCGACATCCCATGGGAGTGCAAGGGTGCGCATGCGCAGCGTGCCTCTGCACCTTTTCTTCCTTCTTCACTTCCTTTTGCTCACCTGATGGTCCAGTCCACAAGCCGGCTGCGCATCTGTCAAAGCGCGCGGGACCCGCCTGCTTCGGCAGTTCTTTCCAGCTTGGCCTGCTGCTTCCTCTTGTTATCCAGTTGCCGCTCGAGCCTTCTCCTTGCTTTCTGGAGTCAAACGAATCGCCTATGCCTCACGACCTAGCGGCCAAAATCTCTTCACCAACAGCCCTGTAACAGTGGTTCCAGGGCTCTGCTCTTCACTCTGCACCCTGTGCGACATGCCCCAGTCGTCCGTGGTAGTTGCATGCTCCTTGACACTCGGAGCATCTGCGGGCAGCGACACGTCTCTCGCAGGATCGACCAAACAGTAATTCATACGAATCATGACGAATGCATCTTCTGCTTCCCTTTTGAGGGTTCATGTTTGTGCCCTCTCCTGGACTTGGGTCTCAAGGCTCCTCACCTGGGGGAGGGTGGCAATACGAGAGGCATTCGCAGTGGAGCAAGACTGTGTCTAAGGAGCCTATATTGGTTTCCTGCCTCTTGCTTCATCTTCAGCAAGGTGTTCAGCTGCTTCATCTTCTTTGCATCCATGCCTTCCGTGCACGGAACATGCGCTGGGAAGCTTGTGCCGGAAACTTATCGAATTTCAGTGACATTGTTGGACCAGGCCGGCGCAATCACAGCAGCCCGGCTCTGGATTCTGAAAATTGCAGTCGCGCCGCGCTCAGGAGCATTCATTCGGAAGATGTTCAGCGTCCGAGGACTGGCCAGCAACGGACCTCCGCATCTGATCGGTAAGTACCAATCACGATGGGATTCTTTCAAGACGAAGCGGAACTAATCTCACAGGGCTTGAAGGACTTGGTTTGGAGAAACCAACTACACATAAAAAGATTCATCATGCGAAGCCTTCCCAAGAAGAAAACTCTTCTCGTTGCCAAGGTGCAGAGAACGCACATGCAGAGTAGACCGCAGATTCCGACACCCAGACAGATGGACACCAGAGCCGGCAGGCTGATGCCAAACCGGTTTACGAAGTCCTGGGCAGGGTTTTCACAGATCCTGTCCCATGCCACTCCTACCCTGAAAGCCCTCTCTCTCTCTCTCTCTCTCTCTCTCTCTCTCTCTCTCTCTCACAGGCAAGGCAGCCCTACTTGTGAAGCTTTGGGCATGACCTCCAAAACAAGACCCACGAAAAAGCGATAACAACATTCAGCTGCCTCCTCGGGCTCCGGCTGCTCCGACAGCCTGCATGAGAGGCATTGGACGCACCGACATGGAGGCATCGGGAGGCAAGAGTGGAGGGTAGTGGAGGCCTTGTCGTCGTCTCCAGCGCAAGTGACTCCAGCGGAGGCTTGAAAACGAAAGGCCGGCCAAAGTTGTCAATCTCCCACCTCGGCCGAAGCTGAGGGATTTGTGCCCGAGATCGGCTCTTCAGCCACAGACACACACACACACACACACACACACACACAGAGACACACACACACACACACACACTCACGGAGGTGCGAGGGGCTTTGGCAAGCCCAGCATGTCAAGAAAAACAAAGGCCCAAAAATGCCCCTGATTGTCTCTGTCTCAGAATTCTCATATTTTGTCTCGAGGAGCAGCGGTGGCTTGGGGATGTCCGCCAGCTTCTGCCACGTTTTGCCATCCCAGGTCCTGTGGCACTCAGAGGCTGCAACATGAGTTTGGTGACGCTACCTCGGAGCCTGGGCCTGGAGACTCCAAGACGGCTGGATGCAAGGGCTGCGCATCTCTGAGTGCTGCATCTTCTTCGGGTTTATGGATTGCTGTTCCAATCGGCCCCGAATCAAGTCTAGTTTACTGTAGGAAGCCAACATGGCAAGCGGCTGCATGCGCAGGGTCGACGCCACCTGCCAGATGACGATCGTTTGTTGCTTCCAGCGACTCAATGCTTAAGGCTTACGGCGACAAGCTTGTGTCGGAAAACAGGTGGCGGTGCACATTCGCTGCCAAAGGCAGGGCTAACGAAAGCAGGCGGAAAAGCAGGAAGCGGGGCCTGAGTGCAGCTTTTGCCGACGATGCATTTATGCTGATCCAGGACTGGTAACCCTCCCCCTTTAGTCTTGGGTTAGGCGTGAAGGTTTAGGGCCTCCCCACTCTCCTCCTGTGGCTCATGGTGGGTTACGGTTTCTTGCCACGCGCATTGCAAGCAGCACCAGTCGATAAATGCAGGACAGACAAACCGTCCCAATTTCTCCTTCAAGAGTCCCAATCGACAAGGTGAGGGATTTACACTACCTCCGTGAAGGATCTTCCAGACCCGCCTCGATTAAATTTCCGGCAATTGGCAGGGGTTTGCCCACTTTGAGGCCTACATATTTCTGCGGGGCTTGGCAAAATCTTGGCGGAGGCTTCTCATTTGCAGGTGCTCTGCCTTGGGCATCCCAGGTTTAGGCTGGCATTCGTGTTTAAGGTTAAAGGCAAGGTGCTCTCCCCCAAAGCCTTCAGCCCCTCCAGTCTTCCAGCCTTCCAACCCTCCAGCCCTTCCCGTCTGCCAGTTCAGGGGCCTGGTCCGGAAGGCTGGAGGGTTGGAAGGTTGCTAACAACCTCTCAGTCCTCCAGCCATCCAGCCTCAGACCCTCCAGCCCCACCAGCCCTCCAGCCTTCCAGCCTTCACCTCTTTAGGGCCGGAAGGTTTGGAAGGCTGGATCATGTCATATTTGAATTTAAATCAGTCATTTTCTATTGCCTCTGCGGCCACTGCGCCTGTCCGGACCCCCATGATCCCCCATAAATGCAAAAACGTCACCATAAGCTTCTTTTCCGCTCCCGAATAGCTGAATGGACCGGACTGTTTGACGGGCATGCAGGAAAACACGGTCGAAACATGCTCCCTTGAGTGGGCTGAAAGTCAAAAGGGTTTGGGGGGGGTAGTGGCCCGGAGCCCGGGACCGTGTACGCCGTGTACCAGAGTAAATGCTTGTTTCTGCTTGTTAGACCATGAATGGGCAACCTGCTGTGATAACGCAAAAATGTCAAGCCGCCATAAGACCAAAGCGCTACGCAGGACTTTCCATTGATGTCACTCAACTCCCTCTCATGGAGCGCTCCCGATTCTGCTCCCTTGCCTTCGCCTGCAGCCGCCGCGCAGGTGACGCGGGGGCCGTTTGGTAAAGCTCCATGCAGCGCACCTGCACAATGCTCTTTGCCGCCGTGCAATCTCCACCTAAGCTTTCGATCACTTCTTCAAAGGCAGTCCAGCCAAGTTTTCGCCTGCCTTCACCCTTCCAGTAAGAGAAGGCATCTGTGTCAATAGAAGATGCAGCTGGCCGGACTCGACAACACACGGTCCACCGCTTTCCTACAAGCTTGCCGCCGCTCGAATTGTCACACGTTCCGACGCATTGCGTGCAGGAGGCGAATCAGGAACACCTTGCCTTCCCGACCATACCCAGTAAGATCCATGTACTGCAACGCACACGCCTCAAAATGCCTCCTGCAGCCTGCAGTCTGCCCTTCCTAAGCGCGCTTGTCTCCATGCAAAGGCGACAACTCAGGCGTAGTAGTTGAAGTTGCTCTTCTTCTTCGCCTGGACAGCACCGATCCCAGCAACATAGTCCTGGTCCAAGGTGGCGATGGTGCTTCGGCTACAACTCAGGCCAAGCTCACTGCCATAACCCTGAGCCCTTAGCAAGCCGCCCCGTCCTCGTGGCACAACTCTGTTGCCCCGCGGCGAAGTGCCTTGAAACCAGGGGCCCCCAAGATCAAGCGCAGGACGATGGCACACATGTTTGCTGGGCTTGGTCTTGTGCCACATTCGCTGCGCAGCTTGCTAGTTCCGAAGACTGTCGTTTAACCATGTCGACTTCAACTTGTGTCCCACAGGCCCTCCAGGGCCTCCATGCCTGCTTCGACGCAAACAGCCTGTGGAGCACAGTTGCAAACAAACGGCTGCAATTTGCCCGCAGTCATCTCGGCAGCCCGTTCCCATTCACTACATCGAGATCATTCTGGAAGCCTATCGACTGTCTGCAACTCGATTTCAAGTCACAGCTGGGCAAGAATCCATCGAGGTCTCGCCGTGCATGTTCTCGCCTTGAGCTGGGCTCCGTTGAAGTCGTCCGTGGAGCGGGCTAGCTCGACAAAGTTCACATCATCTTTCCTCAGCTGCCACAGATGTCACGCTACCACGACCTGAACCGACCAATCGGCAATCAGCAACACGCGCTGTAAGTGCTGCATTTGTAGCTGCATTGCAGCTCTTTTGAGGGTGTGCTGAGGCTGGCTTGTACATGGTCCATTGTTGAAGATCTTGGACTGCATCAGCTCAATTAAAGCGTGATGCAGCAGCACCCTGTGTGAGTGGACACTGTAGACTATGGGTTCCTTCGGGCACCATGTCACCACGCCCTCCGGGCCTCTACGGGTCATACGGGGTTCTATGAGGCCCGACGAGCCGTGTGCGCGTGCGATTGTCTGCGGATCACAGCCTGGAAACTGCGCAGGACTCTGGGTGTTGCTCTGGTCGGGTATCATCATGCTTGCTGATTCTCTTGCTTGGGCTCTTCAACAATCCAAAACGAAGTGCCTTCGTTAGCACTTCTCGCTTCGGGTAAGGGGAGAAAGCAAAGGCTAAAGGTCCTGCTCCACTTCTTTGCCCCTACACTACATCTCGGGCTACACGGTTTCGGATTCGGAGTCATAGTCTCGGGAAGGATTGGGAACCGCGGTTTTGCATGTTGGGAGGCCACAGTTTTGCCCAACCACTCCTACACCCCTGCTTTTCGAGCCGAGAAGGGGGCCCCACCGTTTTGGCTCTTTTTGGAATGGAAAACCGCTGTTCCTGCAAGCGGCTTGTAGTTCATCTTCCGGGAATGGATCTGCATGATGCGGGCGCGGGAGTCCTGGCAGGCTACATTCATTGCAGCGAAGCCCAGAGCCCTTATCCCAATCACACACAGCGACAGCATCGAAACACTGAAACATGCCCCTGTCCATGCAATGAGCCCTCAAGAACCCTCATGAGCCCTCATCCCATTCCCAGAGGCATTCCCAGGCTTCCCCCAAGCTTCCTCGTTCGGGTGCGGGAGCTCGATCTTGCGGTCCAGGCGTCCGGAGCGGAGCAGAGCTGGGTCCTGTTTCGGTCTTCTGTGGTAGGGGTTGGCGCTTGCAACTTGCAATGTCAGAGTTATAGACTCAAAGGATGCCTTTTTTGACAAGAATGCCGTGGATACCGCGACTAGTTACTCTTCCTGCAGCCTTGTGTGTTTACATTTGTGCACGTGCATGACGTGAGGCTCAGAGAGCTGGTTCTGCAACGCGCATGCACATCGCATCGGGTGTCAGTCCAGAGTATCAGGGCGATTGGTGGCCGCGATGATCTTCACAGTCGTCTGGTTAGTGAACCCGTCCTGGGCTTCTGTGGTGAGACCCCGAACAGAAGGTGTTCCATCAAGTTGACGGCGAGTTAAAGTTTTAAAGGCATTCACCACATCTTCTCAAAACAAGACCCCACGATGCCGAGCAGCCAGCTGGTTTAGCAGCTCCAGCATGGTACGCTGGACCTCACGAACTCCGGACAACTCACCGCCACCGGAGCGCTTCTGGCCAATGGCATCCAACTCGTCAATGAAGATGATAGCCGGTGCTTTCCTCAGAAGAGATGAGATGACAAATAAATCGACAGAGAACACAAGAGAACACACCCAAACCTCAAAGATTTTGGCGGATCAGCCAGAAGCACTGCATGCAGGCTTCTCTTTTGCGAGGACAAAAGCATCACGAACAATCTTGGCACCGTCGCCAATGAACATCTGCACCAGCTGGGGTCCTGCCAGCTGGACGACTCGACTGAACAGCTAGCAGCTAGCAGCAAGCACAAGAAAGCATGTGCAGGTCCTGCAAGTTTCAGGAAGGTGGCATTTGTGGCGGCCGCGCAAGCTCGGGCCATCATGGTTTTGCCGGTACCCGGTGGCCCGTGCATCAATACACCCTTGGGGGGTTGGATGCCGATGTTTTCGAAGCGCTCCTCGCGGAGTGCACACACCGCTTGTTGGAAACTGACCCGGCAGAAGGCAGAGACAACCGAACCATCTCGGACCGAAACCTCAGCAGCTAAGGAAGGACAATAAGTGCCTTTTTACTTCTTTTAGAAGGAAGCAGCTGAAGAAGGCTGAGCAGAAAGTCCTTGTGGGTCATGGGCAACACGATGGCCTCCTGCAACCTAAGCGAGAGCTTGGTTTGCTGGGTGCAAAGAATGACAGCAGAACTTCCACGCAAATCGAGAGGAAAGAGGAAAGAAACCTGACTTTACGTGCTGGCACACATGCTCCAGGAAACTCTTGGATCTGCTTTTCCAGACCACCAATGTCGCTGTACTGGTCCGTTGGGCGCTCATCCACCTCCCATGGACAAGCTCGATTGATTGCATTGCGCGGTTCAGCTTTCCATGTTATGCCATGCAGTGTCCAGCCCTCGAAGATCCTATCTTCTAACTAGCACAACCCTCAGTTACAGGTTTTAACTTAAAGCCTTAAGCTTGCCCTAAATTGTTCAATTCTTGAAGACCTACCTTCAAACTACCAGGACAAAGCGTAACCCAGAATCCGACACCCCTTCGGAAAGCGTACATGCACTTTGGACCCAGATGTTGACACGATTTCAGCAAGGACTTGCTTGCTGTTGCTGTAACAATGGCTGACACAGCGGCACAGGCCCTCTGACGGGTCAAAGGCTTTGCTTAGCACCATCTCATAACATCGCTTCACGTTCGACACTCACTACGTCGATCCGATATAAGTCCTTTAACTTCGGCCGCGAGTGCATGCCTCTGCATGCCCTAGCGCCCTGGGTGCCTCCATGGCCTTGACGCGGGAGTCGTACTCCGGGGGCAACTTGTCCAAGACAAGGTAGGAGTCTTTGTTCACGCCCACCAAGTCATTCCTGAGTTGATGTGATGGCTCCAGCACGGCATCAGAACGATGGACCAAAAGAGCATCATCATCGACACAAGCCATCACAAGCAGCTGAGATGAAAAGGTGAACTGCCACATTTGCGAAGCCCTTTGGCAGAAAACCTCCATCGGGCCAGTCCCAGCGTCGGCTTGAGCTCTGACGCTTCCACCAAACCAATCACGGGCAGGAAGATTGTCTGCCTGCAACAGAACCAAGCTGCTTGACTTGAGATTCTCGCAGCAAGACCGCTGTGAATCAGGCCCCATGCCTCGTGGTCGTCTTGATTACCATGCTCTTGCCATCCCGCTGGGTGTCAATGTCTTGCATGGCGCCATCCTGCTGCAGGACCACACTCAGCTTGAATGCGTGCCTGGGACCCCTCCTTGCAAATCCTCCTATCTCTTTGCACTGATAGCGCACAGGCGATTTTGGATGCCTGGATGAATCCAGCAACCGGCCTGCGCAAACCCTTTGCCATCTTAGGGAGAATGACCAAAAAAAAGCCGCTCTGGTGTGCCATCTACGTCTCAATGGAGCCTACTCGGGCCTACTCCCTACAGTACACACATGCGCCTCGTCATCCTGGTCCGGCTCCAACTCCAGGATCTCGGCCACGTTTGCAACCAGGTGGGGCAGCTGGCGGTTGAGCTTGATCTTCTCCTTTTCTGCAAGGGCGCATGAGGCATAAGACTGAGGCAAGTTTCCCCAAGTGTTTGTGGTAGCAGCGGTTACTTGCTGGAATGTTGGCTTCGGATCACGGCGGTAAAAGTGGAATTGCCACTGGCTATGAGCATCTGATGTGAGGCTTCTTTTACATGCCTCAAGCTGGACATTGACAGCACGCGACAAGCATCAGCAAACATGGTCCTTGTTGTCTTTTGTCTTCTCTTCGATGGTCTTGATCTCGTGCGTGAGGCGCTGCTGTTCACCTGAATGTTCGAGCGATTGCCCACCCCCATGGTGGCGCGACGTGGAGAATGCATGTGTTGTCCCAACATCTATCAGCGACCGAGCCACTCTTCATGACGCGGATATCGTTGTCCAGAAGTCGAATACGCTGATTGATCTCCTGGTCCCACTTTACGAACTTGACGGCATGACAACGCTCGAAAATCCTTGCCCCTGGCAGCAAAGCTAATAGCACACTTTGTGCGCATGACTCCTCAACGCTGGACCTCTTGAGGTCAGCCGTGACAATGTCGTCCTGCGGCGGGTTCTGAGTTCTTGTGAGTTCTTGGAAGGCTTGTAAGAAGGCTTGGAAGTCTTTGCTGCATCCCAACACTCCTCGCCCCAGATGTCAGCGCTCTCGAGGCCGCCAGCTGCTGCTGGTGCAGCCGGGGCCGGCGTGGCGTCGGTCATGGGAACCTGGGAACCGGCATAGAGGCAGAAAGCATCAGAAAGCCAAAGTCTAGGATGAGGGACAGAAGGGATCTATTGCGATGTTCGAAAGTCTTCGGAGACTTGTGAGCACTCTCTCCAATCGATATGGGTGCGGATGCCATGGGTAAGCTTGCCAGTGTTAAACTGATCCTGGCATGGGGTGTAGAGCCAACTTGCTGTTTACGTGTGCTGTCAACTTGTAAGCCGAGGGACATCTCCAGACTCGGCCATGTCTACCAAAATGCGAATTCAACCAATGAGCGGTTGTCCGTCAAGGATCCAAGGGGGCCACAGATACAACCAAGCAGTGCAGCTATGGGTAAGTGGCGGCTACTTCTAGGCTGCAACGGAGTGCTTGGCGGGATATCAGATAAAACTGATGCTAGTGGGGTGCTACCTGCTGCTGCAGGTTTTGATCGCGAAAGCCGCGGCGCATACTGGACAGCTTGCACGAAGTATGACTCACTATGATAACGATCTCTTTACAAGAAACCTCTACTGGCCCAAGCTTGTTCGGTAAACCCTCTTTCTACAGACCACAGATCGATTCACTGCTCTTCTCTGATCGTGAGTGTTGAAGGTGCTGTGAAGGTGTGGGCGGCCTCAATCTGGAGATCAAACTTGCAGCCTATCCAGGCTTCCTCTATCCTGCGGATGGCCGGGCAGAGGTTCTAACACACGAATTCAACAGAGACCTGATGAGCCCAGCAAAAACCAAGGTATGGGGAAGCTGCACTGTCAATAGGGTTGATACAGGGCATCGTAGGGCGTTGCCCGAACTTGCATTGGCAAAGGGTCAGGGTGGCCAGTGTGTCCCAATTTCACCAAGTTCAAGTGTCTGAGCTGTCTGAAGCGCGGGCCCACCTGCAGGGACCACATTGTGAGACCCACCTCGACGAGAAGTTCCCGTCGAAGGCGCGGCCAGAGCTCACGTCGCTGTAGACCTGGAGAAGCGACAGGAAAAAATTCGACAAAACCCGACGCCGGCTCGCCCAGAAACGCGTAGCAGAGTCCCACACCATTGCTGTCTCATTGGGGTCCACTGCTGTTCCTTCCTGCAGCAGGAGAAAATGGCCACCTGAGCTGCCATGCGCTCGCAGAGTGCAGAAGACAGCCTAAAGCAAAGCAGCACAGACATGAGCGCTCCAGCCTGGCAGCTACGAGCACGACTGTCAGTTAGGCCAGGTCGGGCCGGGCAGCTGGCAACAGGCAGGTCGCAGGGCAGCTCAGAGAGGCAGTCGAGGTCGCGGAAAAGCCTCATTTCGTAGACGTGGATGCGGTCCTTCCAAAATGATAAGAATGGCAAGGGAACGCCACATTTTCAAGCATCTGCATGGGCATGGCTCGGAGAGCGCTGTTCGTCAAGCCGGTCCGGCTCAAACTCGGCGTTGCTCAACCGGAAGATGTGGTTTGGCAGCGACATAACCTCGAACTGCACCTTCCTGAGTTCCCATGGTCGGATCTGTGCTGCTGCATAGTACTCCTTTAAAAATTTAGAAAAACCTCCACCGCCGAGTCTTGGCAACATCGGCTCCAGCACTCCGCATCTGCCTCGCGTGGATCATGAAGTATCTGTCTCCGTTGGGTCAAGGATCGTCAAGGATCCAATGCGGTCCACATCCAGCTCCTTGGCAGAGAAGTCACGAAAGGAGCAGTCACTCACTCAGACTCACTCTGGCAAAACAGCACCGTCCAAACAGCACCATAAATTTCAAAGGCTCCACTCACTGACACTCGTGTGCACTCTACTCTCCCTTACAGCTCACAGGTGCGGCCCCGTCTGATCCCTTGACTCGTGGCAGCTGGGCAGCCGTGAAGAGTTTTGCGACGTTGGCGGATCTCACCCCCAGAGGCGACACCAGTCGCGTCAACTCCTCGAGCGTCACCAGGCCATTTCCTCGCAAGCTCACCACATCGTTGTCTACTACTCAGTTCGGAAAAGCAAGAGATGCTCTGGACACTAGATGGACGGTATTTGAGCTCCCAAACCCCCCCCCCCCCCCCTGTCCCTTCTCAAGTCTCGAAAGGGCAGCACCCCTTGCTGGTGGATGTGTTCATAATACTGCGTTTGAGATTTGCGATGCCGAGCTGCCGTCGCCCTCACCATCGGCCTCGTCAAAAGCTGCCGCCAGATCGCCCAAAGCAGAGCCCAACAGTTGGCCTGGGTCGCGGAATGTGGCGGATAACCATCCTGTCGTACAACCATGCCTCGTAATCTGGGAATGCACTAACACTAGATGTCGGAGGACGCTGGGGGGCTTAGCCTTTACGCTTACGCCGCTCACCTGAAGGAAGATTTCAGAATCTTTGGGAGTCATGATGTGTGAAAAAACTAACAGTCCAACTAGATTGAGGAGATCAACGCAACCTCATGGATGCTTGCCAAGCACCGAAACTCCGAGCACTCACCTCCGCTGAGAGCAGCCTTAGGCATCGGGCATGGCGTCGCACTGCAACTCGATTGTTGTCCTCGCGCATTGGCTATGCTAAGCGGCTGTGAACTGTCTCCGAAATCCACCCCTCACGATTCAAGCTCCAAGTTGCATCTCAAAATGCGAGGATCGAAGCAACCCCTCCTTTCGGGTGTCCTGGCGATAGGATGCTGTCGCAACAGGCACAGAGGACTTCCCTTCAAACAACTGCTGTGTCTTCCAGCCAATCAAGAAATCAAACCACTCCAGGCAAACTGTCAAAGGGAAGCTGTTCACGTCATAAACAATCACACGGGCAGTCCAGATCAGCAAAGATCTCAGGAATGAGGGATGTTGGCATCTGCAGTCGGGCTACGCACCAGGCATAGAACTCCTTCCAGCTTTCAGAGACAGCTTCTTGCTTTTGGCAAAGTCCACCATGTCCAAGACTCTCGGATCGCAGACTAGCAGTGACTAGCAGCGATGCGGTCTCTTGCTTGTCACTCGCCTCATACGACACTTCGTTCCAGGGCGGCGTGGTGTCAAAGTCCAGCAGAGCCTCCCGAACGTCTCGGTAGCCTCCAGCAACCAGGTCAGTCCGAGCAAGGGTGTTCATGCGGCCTGGAAACATGCGAGTGGCGCAATATCGGAAACATTGAAACTCCGAGGGCAACATTTAACCTCCAAGCAGCTGTCCCTCAAAAGGCTGCGAAACTCAGCGAGGCCGTTCGCTGCCAGTAGGAAAATGTCCATATGCACCACATCAGCATTACCTCTCTTGTGCAAGCCAAAGACTTCATTTCAAACCAGCTGGCGTCTGGAAAGATGTCTATGACTCTAACGTCCCTCCATGCCGCAAAATCAAGTCAAACATATTCTGCCCAAAACTGAGACATAGCAACGAGCTAGACTTGCCCTGGATACTGGCGAGCTGATGAGAACAAGCGTCGGCTGGCCAAGGAATCGAACAAGCCATCCTGACAATCAGGCGACACGGTGGCATGCAAACCTGCACCGCTAACTGTTTTCTGTCACTTGCCCGCTTGCCCCACTTGCCCCACTTGCTTCGGTCTGGAAGCGGACAACAACATGTGCCACTTGCCCCGTTTGACCCACTTGCCCTATGTAAGCCGTTGAACACCACTTGCGCGGCTTGCCTCCGCTTGCCCACTTGTCCCACTTGCCCCACTTGCCCCACTTGCCCCATGTTCGGTGGTGTGGCCCTGGCCCCAGCCACAAGGTCTGCCTCAAAGACGGCGCGGTTTGAGGCAGACATGTGTCTGGGTCAGAGCGTGCCCCCCTTGCCAATAAAGCCATGCCAGGCAAGCGGGGCAAGTGGGGTAAGTTCAATGAACTCTTCCGGGCCAGCAAGTGGGAAAGGGAGGCAAGAGGCGCAACATTCATTAGCTCTTCCTGAAAAGCAAGTGAGGCAAGTGGGGCAACATCAAATAGTGGTTACTGTGGGCGCTCGCGATGCACCGGCACTATGTTGAGACTTCGACTTCTTGGCAGGGAAAGCAAGAAGTGCACCTTCCTGATAAGCCTGCCGCACTGTTGGGGTAGTTGAGGTAGCGACAACAGCTCCCTGTCTACGCTTGCCTAGCTACAACCAGGCATTTCAGCAGCTAAAGTTGGCAGGTGCGCCAATGCATCAGAATGAAATGGCACGATGAAGTCATGATGTAAGTCCATCTTTTCTGAAATGCACAAAAGCAATTACTGCCACATCGAACATGTTCGAGGAGGTTCGGCTTGCACCCTCGCCTCTAATTCAACGTGGTGGTGTCTCGGTTCAGACCAAAGGCACTGCAGTCAAGAAAAATTTTCGCCAAGACTCTACATTGTCACCGCTGATTGCCAATGCTGTGGCCATGACCTCAAGAGAGAGCTGCACATAGAAGCGCACCTTGAACTTTCCTTGAATGGAACCTCATGGAACCGTCCGACCTTAGTAGCAAATAACTAGCCTTGATGACAAGCTTAGCCCTCTGTGCTCTCTGTTGGAAAGGCCTCGAACTCCGAGCGCTGCAACAGGCGATCACCATTTGCGTCGAAGGAGAGAAAGGCCTGTGGCTTGTACACAAGCAGCTTGACAAGCATGAAATCGCACAGAAGCCTAGAGCGGCCGGCACGAAGACTGCTCGGCAGCAGGGAGCACGAAACTCCAGAGCACTCCAGGCTCGAAACACACACTTTGCCCACCTCAACCCCAGCACTGAAGACGGACTGCACCAGCGCTCGCAGCCCGAGGACCTCGCTGCCCAGGAACAACCAGCTGAGGCCACGACTCATCTTTGCAAAGACACGGCAAAGGTTGCGACATGTTCCAGCTAAATGCAAATTGAAGATTCGAAAAGACACAAAACGCGGGGACTCGCCTCAACGGAGCCGACGGCCAGACCAAAATCGTCGACAGAAACCTGCTCCACACAGAGCAGCCGAGCAGTGCCCGTCAATGTCAAACATTGACATGGCATTCCCATGAGCAGCGGCATGGCAGAGCTTTGCCGCGTCAGGGTGGCCTCACCCACCAGAGCTTCATCCACGGCTCGGAAGACCTTCTTGGGCGATGATTCCCAAAGCAAGGATTCTCCTCAACACTCCATCCCAGCATATCCCACTCAAACCACCCCGCCGTCGCCGCTGTGACGTTGCCGCGCAGCGCCAGGCTGCGGCAGCCGAGACGCTGCAGCTCCTTCCAAGAGATGAGGGAAAAACTAAACAAGAGCCTCGCCCGATCATCCGCACTCCGCGCAGTGAATTCGCAAGAGCTAAGGGGGCACCAGCTCAGAGACGAGGCCATTGCCATCGAAGTCAGCG